ATAGTGAAAATTTTGAACCTCATAGGAACTCTATGTGGTACTAAGTCACTCATGTATCTTACCATGCAATGTATAAAGTGTAAAATATTGTAGTAATTCATTATATATAAATGATTATGGTGTGTTTAATCTTCTTTCATTAATTACTACATATTTTCTACACTTACGGTGTTTGCCAGCTCGCTATATAATCAACTTAAATCAGTTAAATCCATCATGCAATGCATTTCCTTCCATTTTTTTTGTGATAAACTAATAGATAATTGACTAAATAAACATCCTGCAAAGTTTCAATAAAAATTTCCAAGTTTTTCTTACAATTTCCGTGGTTTTTATTCAATTTTTTCCGATACCGATAATATCCGGATATTTCCTGCGATATTTCCGTGTTTTTTGACTTCCGATATTTCCGATACCTCCAATATTTAAGACCTTGTTCACAATATCCTTCTCGACCATTGTAAACATAACTCCCTCTATCTAAGCCCTAAACCTAGTGATGTTCTAGGTTTCTTATGAATCAATTTCTTTTTTCTTTTTCGTCAAATCCCCAAATCCCCAAATTCCCAAATCTAGTTTTTTTTTCCCCTTTTTGCCCTTTCTACTCTTTCGCCTCATTTTCCTGTATAAGAGTATTTTATCATTTCATACAGGATTTACATTTACTTTGTTTTAATGTTTTTTTTAGAATTTTAAAAAATGTGTTTTGTCAGTTTTCTAGTTATTTGATGATAATTAAATGATGTGGCATGTTGGGAATATAAGTCAAGCATACTAACAGGGATACGGTTTGATTTCCTCTATTCTAATATCGCTTGTATAAAAAAACAAGAAATCAGAAGTTCCCCTTATTCAAATATGCATGTATACAAAAAATAAAAAATCAGAAGTTCACCCTATCCCAATATAGCTTCAATACAAAAAACAAGAAATCAGAAGTTAAAAATGAACGTAAGGCCTCTCTTTAAGAAAAATTAAAAAAAATAAAATTGGTCAAATGAGGATGACGCGAAAAATAAGAAATTTTGTTTTGAGTGATGACGGGTGCAAATAGACACCACAAGGTGCAGGAAGAAGAAACCCAATGGCCTTACGTTTATCATATGAACCCCACAACTTCACACTTCACACTTCACAGAAACCAGGACCAAGGCCCAGGAAGAAGAAACCCAATACACAGCTTGCATGGCTGCTCCAGCTGTCGAAAACGCCGCCGAACTCAGAAAATATTGCAACTCTTTTTAGATTTCTGCTGTTTCATATTGTGAGAGTTGGGTGTCTTGGTTTGCGCATAATTCAAAATTTGCAGGTTGTTGGCTTTATGATAATCTTATAAGTTCTGACACAGAGATCATATCCTACTTTGAATCTTATGTTGGAATCCTTTTAATAATTGAAGTTACTATGTCTATATGCAGCTGGAGTCCCGAATCTGGCCTTGGTTGAGGGCGTAGACAATGAGAAGGTAAAGACAAGTCCAAATATCTGTTTTAGTTGCTGAAGGTAATTGACTTACTTTATGTAATTTTTATTTGAAGGATATTCATATAATTATCTTTTTTTGGTCAGAACATTCATATTATTGTTTATTAGCCAAATTATTGGTAATATGCCATGGAAACCTTCGTGGATTTCAGTTGATTAACCATTGTGCAGGTGTTATGCCTGGGTTATTACTCAAAATGATATTGTGCTACTTTGTGTATATAATCCACAGATTGCAAACCATCTTGATCGAGCAGTGTCAAACCTTGGTAGAAATCCTTTAAAGGTTTTGGTCCAAGTAAATACCAGTGGAGAAATATGTAAGTTATTTCAAAATTATCACTCGTTCCTGCAGTAATTAGCCATGTTGTTCAATTGAGCATTAATATGGCATTGAAGTTGCTTGAATCTTTCTCTTCCCTGCTTTCCCTTCTTAGCTGCATAAAAGTATATTTCCCTCATTCAACTTTGTGGTTGTAATGTAACCACAAAAATTCTACATGATAAATGCAACACGTGGTATTTCCTCTGATGAGCACAACCTATGTACGTAATAAGTTCTGTAATTATATCATCTCATGTCTCCATATCTTAACATGTCCTTTACCAATGAAAAGACACTTTGCCTGGCCTTCAACTTTTAACTCAGCTGCTTGTTAAGGCAGCCAAAACCTTATGCAGTCAAGATGCGTTATAGTTGGTCACTTGCAGAAAGAAGGATCATACTCTTTCTAACTATTGAACTAAATTCTATTTCCAGTAATTCAGAGATAAATTTTAATTTGCCCCACCTCACCTCCTTCGTGTGTTTTTCTGATATTTTCTGCAGCGAAATCTGGTATCGATCCTTCTGATTGTGTTGAACTTGCAAAACATGTCAAATTTCAGTGCCCAAATCTAGAGTTTTCTGGCTTAATGACAATAGGGATGCCAGACTATACATCAACTCCAGAAAACTTCAGGGTAACTTTCTTACTTGCATAGTGAGGTGCATGGAACTGCTTACAATGGCATTGTTTGGTTCTTGTTTCACAGAGCAATCAAAATAGGTTGTCTGTCTCACAAACTGAAGTCATCTGTTTTAAGTGCCTAAACCCTAAACCCTCTGTTTTTCCTTATATATTTAATTCCATTGATATATATTTAAAATAGAATTGAATCATTTGATACTCATTTAATGTTGTTTTCTTTGGGAACGAAATGGTAATTTGTTGGCTATGTAATTTAGAGTTAAACTTTCCCCTTCCAGACCTTAGACCTCCTGTGGGTTTGACTCGAGACCTTTATTTATTAAAGGGGAGAGATACTGGTATCACCTTGGTTTTATTTTTGGCCAGTAGTATCACTTTGGCTACAAGGACTAGTAAATATCCATTTAATGTTTGAAGTCCCCGTTACTGAGTTTCATTTATTCACCTGTTTTTTTGTTGTTCATTAATTTGATTAGGTTTTATATCTTGTAATTCAACAGATGCTATCAAAGTGTAGAGCTCAGGTCTGCAAGGCACTTGATATGGCAGAGGAGCACTGTGAGCTATCAATGGGCATGTCTGGTGACTTTGAACAAGCGGTATGAAATGCCCTATGTTGACATTGAACTTCAAAGAAATTGCAAGAAACTCATATTTTCCAAACGGCTGAATGACAGTTGTTGCTATATCCTTTATTACAACTTAAATAGAACAACCTGTGCAAATTGGAACTTATTATCCAGTATTCTACTAAGCAATGGTTGGATTGGATCATACAACGGATATCTGAAGACCTAGACCTTTGTGGCGATTTTAATTGTGATATTTAAGAACCATCTTAAGGAAGAAATGATACTTGAACTTTTACGGGAAATATTTTCGCAGACGTATGGTAAGCATTTGATAAATGCCTAGGAAGCATTTCAAGATGCTTAAATGTTGTTTTTGCAACTTTGTGGATAGTTCCATAGAGCTTGGATTATATCATTTCCAAAATGCATAAGACATGCATTTTCAGTTGAGATTTATGCACAGAATGATTAACACTCTTGATTGACCCGTGCAGATTGAAATGGGCAGCACCAATGTCAGAATTGGATCCACCATATTCGGGCCAAGGGATTATGCAAAGAAGCAACCAGATTAGTATCTTCCAACCCCTGCCCTTCATGCCTTTATGTGTTTCTATGTGTTTATTGATCCTGGCAAAGCTTGTATCCCTCTTTTTCAGTTGTATGGTGTCACAATCATTAACTGTCATTCTGCGCATCATATGCAGCTCCCGACCTTTATTGTAATCAAATCATGTACCACAAAATCTTTCATATATTGATATATTTGTTATGAAGTCTTTCTTACAGAGCCTATGGTTTGACTCCCCTTTTAAATAAAATTAAGAAATAGGAAAAAAAAAATTACGGAGAAAACCAGCTACTCGACAATAAAATGGATAAAAATCACCAATTTTAACTCTTTATTTCGTGCTAATATGTAATTAATTTTCTGTCTTAGTTGGAAGGCTCTTCCAATCATAGTGATTTGTCCTTCTAATTGCACAATGACCCCGTCTGAATGAGCCCTTAGCATCCTGTATCTAACCATTAGACAATATAAGTCTAATAGATGGTAGGTCTAGGTTACAAGATTGATTATGGAGGTCGGGGACATGGACATACATTGATACTGTCTAATCATTCGCAAATGCAAGTCTAATAGATGGCGGGAATATAAGGTTCGTGGGGAAATATAACAGAGGAATGAATCAAAATACGGTAACTTTTTTATTATTATTGGTGCAATTTGATTGACTTCCATTGATACTGTTTTTACTGAGTTACAACTGATCATAGGAAATTATAGTTACAAAAATAAAATAAATATATGGTTCAAGACTTGGTGAAGGAAAAATTACCCTGCAAATCTTGTTCTTGAAGGAATTTTGATTTAATTTAGGACATCAAAGTTGCGGGGCACCTGTTTTACAGGTTTTGTGCAAGCTCGAGGGTTTTGTTTGCCATCGGTTATAACATCTACTTTCGAGCATGCTGATACAGCCGGTCCGTCAGGACCGTTGTAACTTAGGTTGATGTCTCTCAACTGAATCTTCTGGCACGGCTTGGTTTCGCTACACTTGAGAGTAACAACATTTGGTGTGCTTGAAGTACCCCAAATGTTAATCATCTTGACATCTACAATCTGAATTTGGGATGATTCCTGCACGCAATGAAAGCGATTAATCCAATTTATACATCACACTGTACATAAATTATTAGGGGAGCACGTCCATCTGTTCGTCCTCCGTTAAAGGACAGATTTTGTATCGATAACATGTTGGTGTATTTTCTTTTATTGGCATGTTATCGACACCATATTTACAGTCCGTCTTTAAAGAAACCCTCACATTGTATACCACATCTATAATTAGGCGTACACACTACAGTTGGTTTATAGTTACGTACCGTTGCACTGCACCTACGAGCAGGGCAATAGTTTTGATCGATGACTATAGGGTTTTTGACCTGATCCATTCGAATGTTCTCAACATAAACATGTGAAACAGTGCCTTGTTTAGAGGGAGCCCATGTTTTGATTCTCACTCCATTGTCAGTACCAACAAAGGAGCAGTTTCTTATGTCCACAAAAGAAACATTATTATTGTTTCCCCTGCCAAGGCTTCCAATGCTCATTCCATGGCCTGGTCCACAGTGAACACCGCTAACGTTGATCTTGCTTGATCCGGCGCTGAAGGATATGCAGTCGTCCCCGGTGGCGATCACGGAGTCCAAAATTTGGACGTTGGACGATGAACCAATGTGGATTCCGTCGGTGTTGGGGCTTTCAGCGGGAGCTGATATGTTAACGTTGGTAACTTTTACGTCTCGGCATGCAAAAAGGTTGATGTGGAGATTTTTGCTGTTAATCGATGTTATGTGATCTATGTTTAGATTTGTGACGAAATCAAATCTCAAATTCTGACAAAAATAAGGCAAACACAACACAAACATTAGCAATCAACTAGACATACCATATATATATACTTTTCGCATTCAAGTCCATGATATATATTGAACAAAATGAAGGACAAGAACTTACTGCAGGAAGTGGCTTGCATTTTGGATCTTTCAGGCAGTTGTTATGGTGCCAAGCAGAGGGTCCTTGCCCATCCAATAAACCACCACCATTGATGTCCAAGTTGTCAACGTGTTGGAATTTGATCCAATGGTCCATATCAACCGAAGATTGGACCCCCTGAGGAGCCAGTAGGGTCCCTTCTATCTGCAACCCAATTGGTCCCTTGCATTCCCCTTTCAAAATCACTGGCCTTACCAAGTATTTCCCGGTTGGAAATAAGATCACACCACCTCCGTTTTTTTGACAAGCTTGAGTCCATGCATCAGTGAAGGCCTAGAAATAAAAATAACAAATAAGTATTGACATCTTCATCGTAATCTTAACATTTGGATTAAGACAAACTCAGAAAGATTACCTTGCTGTAATCAGTTTTTCCATCAGCAACGCCGCCGTTTTTTGTCACATCAAAAACTGTTTGCTTAGCTCGAACTCTGGAAATGGATACCACCACCAAGAACACAAAGCAAACAAATTGGCCAACCAAGCTGGAAACCATTTTCATATTTTAACTTTAATTTTTGTTTACTAGTGATCTTCTTCAATCACATGTCTCTATTGATGTTATGGATGATGTGTTTTTATATGTTGTTTGCGCAGATAGAAATGGAATGATACCACCATATGATTTTGTTTCTGATTTTGTTTTGATTGAATTTCTTTTAAAGGGTTTAAGAAAATCTGTTCCTCCCAAATTGAAATCATTTTGTTTTTTTTTATTTTCGTACATTTTATATGCATTAGAGGAAGGGAGTTGAATTTCATGGCTAGCCTGCTAATTATAAGGTACATTTTAAGGTAAATATATTGAATATGATATAGTTGCATAGCTTATGGTACGATTTTCTTCTTCTTCTTCCAATATAGATTGGTTTTGTAATATTTGTTTTCTTTTTTAAGAGGATTCATTTGCAGTTCACATTCACATGGTCTGTGGTACACGTTTAGGGTGGGTTGGGCAGATCGGTTGTAAACCCAAGTTCTTCACAAATGAGCCCCTGAGAACTACATTTCATAGTAGAAAACACTTCGCCATTTTGAAGTTAAAAAAACCCATGAAGTCAATTTTTAGTGTGCGTAACTACTATTGCATTTGCATTCGACACTAACAGTTCATAAGTGAGGGTTTTTTTGTTTTTCTAGGTTGTTTATTTATTTATTTTTTTGGGGTAAATTTCACTTTACTACCCTCAAGTTTACCAAAATTCTGACTTTGATACCCAAAGCTTTTTTCCTCACTCTTATTCCCAACGTTTACTTTTATTACCAATTTCATACCTCTGTCCGTGTTGCCATTAGGACCTCCGTTAAATGCTGATGTGTCCTTAGCGTGGCCCACCACTCATCACCAACGTGGCTCAAGAGGGTCCCAGACTTCATAAACTCCTGCTAAAAAACCTTACTGAGTGACATGTGTCCATTTGTCACATTAATTAATTTTAAAAAAATTAATTTTTAAATAAAAGAGGAAATGGTTGATTTATCTCTCTCCCCAATCGAGAAAAACTGACTATCATTTAGCTGAAGCTAACCCTAAATGTTGAAATAAAAAAACTGAACATCATTGAATCAAATGTCCCTTCTTTTCATCAGGTTTCGATTGCATCTAACGCGGGGAATACTGAGTGTTATGAGTCTTCCATACCTCAGTCATGTCTTCCATGTCGGGGATGCCTGAGTTTGAAAGGGGCAGGTCAATGAAATGCTACTGTAGACTGAGGGTGAAGAGATTTACTTCTTGGATTGATGCGAACCCTGGTAGGAGGTTTAATGTTTGCGGAAAAGTAAGTTGTAACTTTGGTGAGCCACTTCTCTATTTTTCCTTAATAATCTTGATGTTCAATAATATATACTGTCTGTGTTTGTAGAAGAATGATAGATGCAGATTCTAGGAGTGGTTTGATGAAGAGGACACCCCATGGAAGCAGAAGTTGATAGCTGGGATGCTTAATAGGATTTGAAAAATGGAGAATGAGATTGTGACCTTTCGAGCAAGGGAGAGGAAGCTCTGGTTTTTTTTTTTTTTATAGTTGTATCTTGGATGCTGCTTGTTGCTGTGATGATTAAAGGGAAATAGGTCATTTAGGGATCATTGTCAGTCCTTTATGTATTGAGAAGTTGTTGATTTAGTTAGTATTTCTATTTAGTAATCATATGTAACGGCAAGTTTCTGAAACAAAATGGTATGGTATTTTGTTAACAGCCATGGTATTTCCTTAACAAGTATAAGGTCATAACCAAACAATCAACAATGTGTGATTCCAAATTCTGATTCCATAACCACCAATTTTCCAGCAAAATTCTAATTCCATAACCACCAATTTTTGGGATTATAAGGACAAAACAACAAAATGTAAGGTACATAGAACATAGTCATGACCAAATTTTGAATCCATAACCAAATAACCACCAATTACAGTACCAATTGTCCATAACCAAATACAAATTCAAAATCCACCAAGTCTTCACAAATCTCCAGCAAAAGACATACATAACCACCAAATCTCCATCAAAATACATACAACAATCCACCAAGTCTTCACAAAATACATACATAACCACCAAATCTCCATCAAAATACATACAACAATTCACCAAATCTTCACAAATCTCCAGCAAAATACATACACAACTGTTAGGCAAAACATTGTACAAGTAATTCATATGAACCTCCACCCAACACAATTTCACTCTCATCCCTGATAGACATGAGTTTTATTTAAGTACGACCCATTCAAGACAAAGTGTCTCTTAATTACAATCTATCATTAAAAAGAGAACACCCTTTGATTCCAACATGGATTAAACTTTAAATAAGAGGTTTGTGTGTTTGTTTAAGTTTACGGCTGCACCTAGGTTGACCTTAGGTTGCCTACGTACCCCTTTTGAGGGATTAAGGCATTCGTAGTTCTTTGGAGAATTGGATTGGACTTTCAAGGAATGAATGACCCCTTGAAAGAATTTGTGGTGTGAGAAATATTTCATGGAATTTGGATGAATGTGGTTGGACTAGGGATTCAATTTGATTTTGTGGTAGGAAAAGTGTTTGGGGCGAATTTGGTTAAGGTAAACCAGGGATTCTGTTTGGACTTACGGTTGTATCTGGATTGAATTTCCAAATTGCCTACGTATCTTTGGCGGAATCAAACCGGACGTAGTTCCTTATTTTTTAATTAATTCAATTTTACTAATGAATATACAATTCACTAGTAGTTTAGGCAA